AACCTTGGCTTCCTCCATCACTGGAGCAAGCAAGCCTCCTGTTCGCTTCAGCTGCCTAGCTGCCTAGCTGCCGGCCGCCATCTTGGTTGGCAGTTAATTTGCATATCTCCCTGATTAGCCCATGGGAAGTGTGTCAGAGGTACAATTAATTACCATGTTTGTCTATTATTAGATAGGATTGTGATTTTGAGAAGAATCAGACAGACTTGGGTTTGGATTCAGATCCTGGCTTTGCCACACACTGTTCAACTCTGTAAGCTTTTACTCTCTCTGGTCCTCAGTCTCCACATCTGTGAGATGGGGCTGCTTGCACTTCTCACCTCTCAGAGTAGCCATGCAGGTGCTGGGTTCTGTCTCTGACATGCGGCAATGCTCTGTAAATGCCGACTGTTACCAGTGATACTGGAGGGCCTCCTCCACGTGACTTCCTTTTATTTTACATTCTGGGCTTCTGGGTAAAATTGCAGGAAGAGTGGCTCTGTTGCTTGAAAGGAGGTTTGAAAACCACTGCTTTTGACTAAGTTGGCAGAGGCCTTGGTGGGTGCTCTTGAGGGGCTCATAGAACTAACCAGCCTGGTAGATTCAGGGGGCCACAGGGGCTTCCCAAGAAGGAAACAGGATTGGGTTTCCCAGGACAGGCAGGCTATGCTAACTGCATCAGTTATCTATAGCTGTGTAACAAATTACCCCCAAGGTTAGTGGCTTAAACATTATCTCAGTTTCTGTGGGCTGGGAATTCAGGAATGACTTTGCTAGGAGGTTCAGGCTCAGGGTCTCTTGTGAGGCAACCAACATTCAAGCTGTTGGCCTGGCCTCAGTCTCATCTGAGGGCTTGACTGGGCTAGAGAACTGACTTCCTAGGTGGCTCCTTCACACAGCTGTTGGCTGGAGGTCTCAGCTCCTCATCACATGGGGGTCTTCACAGGCTGCTTGCCCGTCCTCAAACATGGCAGCTGGCTTCCCCCAGAAGAAGAACCGGGAGGAAGTTGTAATATCTTTTATGATCTCCCCTGAGAAGTCCCCCTTCCCTTCAGGTCTTATTGTATTCATTAGAATTCATCCTAAGTCTGTCCCACACGAAAGGAAGTGGCCTTAGACTCCACCTCTCAGGGACATACCTGAGAACCACCACACTGACCCTATAGGCGTCACTCAGGCGCACTGTCGCAATGGTGCTGGGGCTGGCCTGAGAAGCAGTAGGAATAATAATCATCCCATTGCTCAACTCCTGCTGTTGGCTAGGGACCCAAATACGTGAGCTAATATCGTACCAGCCTCAGGCTGATTGGGGGAAAACAAAGTGGCAGAGCTTAGAAATAAGGATTTTAACACCCAATGTGGTAGTGCCTGGAGTGTGTGTGTGTTTCAACATAAATTTAAAGCACTCCTACTGCTCTGTCCCAGTTACTATACCAGATTCAAGTGAGAGAGTGCTACCTTCCAGATGCTCACAGGAAAGGGAGACAGAATTAAGAACTAGTCATTCTAATACAGTGTGATCAGTGCTGGAAGATGGACGAATGAATGAGTGTAGCTGGACAAAGGAGGGAGGGATCAGATTTGCTGGGGCATGTTCCCCAAAGAAGAGCCTATTGTGATGGGTTTTGAGGGATGAGTAGGAGCTCGTTACCATGGTAAAGGAAGAAGAGCTTTCCAGGCAGGGGGATCAGCCCATACAAGGGCATGAAGGAGCTGGAAAAGCCAGTGTATTTGGGAAACGATGAGCAGTTTGGAGAGGGTGGACCGGAGGCAGGGATTGAGGCTGCATGTCGTTTGGGCCAGATTATGAAAGCTCAAAACTGGGCTGACTTTTAATTTATGATCAACATTTAAGATCAACAGTGTATTTTATGACTCATGCTTCTGTGAGATGTTAACAGACTCTAAGGTTATTTAACATTTAAGTTCAGGAAGCCCAGGGTTTAGCACAATTAAAGCAGCTCCTTTATTGCAGGACTTCACACAACCTTTAATTCTCTCCCAGGGAGGGAGAGAGTAGATGGGATTCAGTCAACATTCAAATACATGGGATTCCCAGACTCATTTGATCACAAAGCCCCCTTCCCGAGGGAGCCGAGGGAGGCCTGTGTCCCAGGGAACACACTTTGGAAATGCTGCTTGTAGATATGGGCAAGAGCGAGCGAGTGTTCTGAGTTGGTTTGCGGTATAATCAGAGTCGCGGTTTCTGGCTGCTGTTTGGAGGGTAGGCTGAAGAGGCAGAAGCCAGGAGGTGGGAGGACTAGTGAGGTGCGTAGGAGGAAAAGGAAGGGTGTCGGAGACACGGAGGGGTGGCATCAGCAGGCTTGCAGGTTGATTAAATGGGCTGGGGGTTGGAGGTGAGGAGGAAAGGAAGACCTTAGGGCCCAGGCTCTGGTTTCTGGCAGATGGGATGCTATTGACTCGGTGGGAAGAGTGGAGGAAGGTATTTGGTGCGTGAGGGGAATGGGTGCTTCTGGGTCAGGTGGAGGTCTCTAACTGAGCTTGGCCAAATTACCTGTACTTAATTTATGGGCGAGGTGGCACAAGGAATGTAACGCCTTAGAAGAAATGGACAAGTTCTTAAAAAGCACAACTTTACCAAAATTGACACCAGTTGGAAACAGAAAAGCTAAGGAGCCCCATGTCTATTAAATTTGTGCCCAACCAGCATGGCTCAGTGGTTGAGCTTTGACCTATGAACCAGGAGGTCACGGTTCAATTCCCTGTCAGGGCACATGCCCAGGGTGTGGGCTCGATCCCCAGTGTGGGGCAGGCAGGAGGTGGCCAATCAATGATCCTCTCTCATCATTGATGTTTCTCTCTCTCTCTCCCTTCCTCTCTGAAATCAATAAAAGTATATTTTAAGAAAGAAAAGAAGCTAAATTTGTAATCAAAAGTCTTTGCACAAAGGAAATTCCAAGCCCAGACAGTTTCACTGGTGAGTTCAACCTAACACGTAAGGAAGAAACAGCACCGATCTCACACGGGCTCCTTTAGAAAATCATTAATGGGAGAGGTGACTTCACGCATGGCTTCCACTCAGGCCTGGCTCCAGTTCAAGCTCTGTTGCTTTCGTCCGTTCAGAGTCATGTTTTGAGTACTTGCTATGTGTCAGACACATTCTAGGCACTGAAGTTATGTTCGGGAACAAAGCAGGTAAAACTCACTGTCCTCTCCGTGTTATGCAAGGTCGTCGGGTGTGTCATTTAACTGTCCTGAGCCTCAGTTTCCTCATCTGTGAAGTGGGGACAGCAATGCCCTCTTTCCTGAGAGTTGTCAGGACTCACAGTGACGGTGAGGGGAGGGAGGCAGGCAGGCAGCCAGCGGTGGGCAGTTCCCCAGCGGCCACTGATGCTTGTCTCTCTGTCATGTGTGTGTGTGTGTGTTCCACGGCCTGCCCTCTCAGGCTTTAAAATGTGTGTCAGCAGCAGCAGCAGCCACGATGAGGCCCCTGTCCTGAGCGACAAGCACCTGGATGTGCCCAACATCATCATCACCCCCCCGACCCCCACGGGCATGATGCTGCCAAGGGACTCCAGGAGGACAGGTGAGGCCACCCTGCCCGAAAAAAACTGGCAGGTTGGGGGGGGGGGGGGGGGGCGGGTCGGGCTGGGGACAGCTCAAGGGCCCCCTTCTGTGTTATGGATCTGAGTTCATGTCCCCACCTCCCTGGGTTTATTAAAAATTTACCCTTGGATCTCCACCATGGGCCCCTCACCGTGGCTCAGCCTCAGCAAGAGGTGGCATGTTAAGTAATTAGCTAGACAATCCCTCCCGGCAGCTGAGCGAGTGATGGATGGAGCTGGGCAGGCTCGCCAAGGTAATTGATGGATGCGCCTTCCCCTGCTAGCCAGGCGACCAGCACTCCATCTTGCTGGCTGCAGAGGTTCAGCTGGACAGAACAGGCTTGGAAATACGCCCACGCCGGGCTGGGGCTGATCTCTGGGCCTTCCGGATGTAGCTCACTGCAGGGAGGGGAGGGAAGATGGAATTGTTCCCAGTGAGAGGGTGAGAGGGAGAGGCTGCCACTGGTGTCCCCAAGTGCCCTCTGTAGATACTGTTGGGGCTGGTGAGACAGATTGTTCATTTATTCATTAATCAGATTTATTGAGCCAGACCTGTGCTAGGTTCTGAGGTTGCTGTTGTAAATAATAATAATAATAATAATAAATAATAATAACAAATAATAAGTAATGATTCTGATAGCAGTAATTGAGTCCTAATAGTAAGTCTGAATTAGGTCTAGTTTGCATCCTCATTTTATGGATGGGTAGACGAGGTTCAGAGGGGTGAAGACACTTGTCATACAGCTGGTAAGTGGCAGAGTTGGGTTCAGACCCAGGCCGTGTGGTATGGAACTCATCCTGTGGACCCCTAGTCTAGACGCCCTCCCCGTGGCTAGCATCATTCAGCCCACCCGCCATCGAGGCGTGAGTCCCGCCTGGCCTTTACGGGGACACAGGCTGACAAGGCTAATGTGGAGCTCATGGAAGTCTGGTGGGGGATTTAGGCACACTTTTCTAAATGTGTAGAGTTTGGATCTCAGCTTGCCCAGCGGGGCAAGTGACTAGAGAATGAGGTTGGACTCTGGACCAGGCCTGTGCTGTTACCGGGGCTGGGCCATGCTAGGAAGGATAGAAATGTGTCACATTTCTATGTCACCTTCCCAAGTGACAGGCACGGGGTCTAAGTGCTTTTCACACATCTTATCCCAACCCTAAGGGCTGTGAGTACCGTCCTTCTCTCTAGTTTACCGACGAGGATGCTGAGGTCCAGAGAGGGCGAGTGACCCACCCAAGGGCTTGCAGCGAAGCAGGAGAAGAACTGGGCTCCTGCTCCAATGTCTAACCAAGAACTCAGTGCGGGCAGCGGAGGCCCAGGTCCTTGGCTCTGCCGTTACACTCCCTTCCCTCTCTGAGCCTCAGTGTCCCCATCTATTTAATGGGATCCTAACCACCTTCCCTGCTCCTGGGGCCATGCGAGTGCAGTGGAGACTCACGGTTACTCTACAAGGTCTGTGGGGTGAGCATCTGGAGACCCTGGGCCCCAGGGGGATTCCTAACACAGGGGAGAGGCTCCTTTCAAGCTTAAGCAGTTCCAGGGGCAGATTAGTGCAGAGGGACCAGCACAGGGGTCCCCTCCTGTCCTGTCTGAGCAGAGCTCAGACCTGACCCTCCGCTCTCCCCATTCAGAGAAGGGAAGCATGGGAGAAAGAGCACAGACGCGGAGTCATACAGCCCTGACTTTGGATCCTGGCTCTACTACTCATCAGCATGTGACTTTGAACAGGAAGCGCCACTTCCCGAAGCCTCAGTGTCTCCATCTATGAAATGGAGACAATAATAGTGGCTCAGAGAGGCTGTAGAAGACGAGGAAGGTCAAGGGCTGATTTCTGTGGTGTGTTGTGGATATTCTCATCAGTGATATTTAGGGCAGAAGGAAAGACCACCAGACCTGGGTGGCACCTCCTCTAGGCCTGAGGGCGCTGGGTGATGGTTAGATACCTAGGGCTTCCCCAGGCAGCGAGGAATCAGAGAGAAGCCCAGCCCTGCCTGGCCACCTGCTGACGTGGAGCAGGTCTCCACACTCTAAGCATCAGATCCCCACCTCTAGAGCTGCCCAGGAAACTATATTTCCTGGGCGGTGCGCAATCCCAGGAACCTTAGCCAGGGACCCTGGGAGCTCAGCGTTGCGTGTGGGGTGAGAGGAGCATGGAAATCCTGTGAGACCCAGCATCATTGGGATCCCCTCTCAACATCCATTGGTACCACCGCCCATATATGGGGGAATCTCAGGGCGGTGATACAGAGCAAGCAGCCCACAGGCACTGGCCTCAGAGCTCCCAGGGAAAGGGGCCTGAAGCGGGTGGGGGACCCATCCACATGTTGATCCCCCTCTTGCCTCCTAGTCTGGCTGGAAGAGACGGGGTCATGTCCGGAGGATGGAGAAATAGACCCCGAAGCCTGAGAAGGAAGAACGGGTCTGGGATTCGTTGGCTCTGGCTCCGGCTCTGGTCATCCCTCGTTCCACGTGTCCCCGGTGCGGGGTAGCCGCCTGGGACAGAAGTGCCGAGTAAGCCGGATGGGAGAGTGATTTCAGCACTTGACCAGGAGAAGTGTGGCAAGATGAGCCAGGGACCAGCCCTGCACGCTTGCAGAACGATGTTTCCCTGGCCCCGTTGGTGGACCGGACCTCTGATGCCTACACATTCTTGCTGACCCCAGGGCCATGGTGATGGCCATCAGGGTGCCAGGGAGAGGTTTTCTTCTGGACACACACACTCCCGCACCCTGGACCATGCAGACGGTGCCCAGGAGATCAGCACACACAAGAACTTCTTGCAAAGGAGTGGCTACATTTTTTACACGTTGTTTTACAGATCTCAAAACAGTCCAAAAGTGATTTATAATTTTTTTTTGCATTATAAATAAAGATCCTCTGTAACGAATGGTAAACCCTGCTTCTTGGTTGGGCGGAGGAGATGGAGCACACTCGGATACAGAGGCGGGTTTAAGAGAGTCGGTTGTCACGGAGGTCTGGCTGGTGGTGAGCCTTTGGATGGTCTTGGGTCCCACTGAACGGCAGACCACTGTGTGGGCCTGGGCATGGCCAGGGGCATGGCGCATATGTCACACAGACCTGGTTTGAGTCCCAGCTCCGTGCCTGCCAGCTGTGGGATCTCTGTAAGACATCTCTAGGATGGGAGGCAATGGTTTGTTTTGTTTTTCTAATTTATTAATTTTTATTGCATTTATTAGGGTGATATTGGTTACTAAAAATTGCATAAGTTTCAGGTATACAGTTCTACAAGTCATCATCTGTACATGGTACTGTGTGCGTATCAACCCAAGTCAATCTCCTTCCATCACCATTTATTCTGGTTTACCCTCTTCTACCGCCCCCCA